CCCCCCCCCCCCCGACCTTGTTGACTTGGATCTTGGGGGAGGGAGAGATGGGCCAGGTCTGCATGGCAGTGGGGCTCTACTTCCCCCTTCCTACTCGCAGTTCCCGGCCTGGTGGATAGCTGCAGCCAGGAGCAGCTGCTCAGAGCCTCTGTCTCTTGCCGATGTGGCTGGGCAGGGGGGAAGAGGGGTAAGGGGTAGGAGAAGGGAACTGAAGCTCAGAGATGTGCAACTCTCCACCGTGCCAGGAACCTGGGGCAGAAGGAGAGTGGAGCCCCTTGTTGTGCAAATCCAGTCTGGCCTGGCACCCTCCAAACCCAAGCCAGCAAGTTTATTGGGGTCTACTTCCCAACCTTGGTTCCTGGAATGGCAGAAAAGTATGCAGCTCTGAGCCATGGCTTTATACCCCCACCTTGTCTGGTCACAGGCAGGAGATGGAGGCTTCAAGCAGCAGCTTCTGGCTGCAGGTGTCCACCAGGCTGAGAACTGAGAGCAGGCATGTGGGGGAAATGCCCACCCTGCCATGTGGACACCCCTTCCCCATCATGTTGGTTTGGGGCTGGGCCTGGGCAGCTGGGGGGCTCCTTTTTCCCCAGCTGCTGCTGACAGCTGGCAGGGGGCAAAGCTGGGGAGAGGTGCTGCACTGGCCAATCAGGGATGGCCAGCTGCTCGGCTCCTTGGGTCGGCTTGCAATTCCCCAACAGCCTCCTGGGAGGCATGTGAGTACCCCTAGCTGCTGGCCACAGTCAGTTCAGGCCACCTCTGTGCCTCTTCCCCCAAGTGTGAACTCGAGTTCTGTTCACTCCCAGACTAATGTAGGGTGCTTTAAAAAAAGCTGTGAAAGTTACTGTAAATCCCCCTCAGGCTTTTTGAACCTCTGTACCTAGCCTAAAAGATAAGATGCCATATTTAGCATAGTGTCATTCTACTAGATAGTTTCTTCTCTGGGAATAGAGTATCATTTGATCTGCATGTTTGTAAATGTAATATAGGCGTAATATAAAAACAGCTATATTATAGTATCATATCATATAATATTGTATAGTATGGCTTAATACAATGATCTGCAAGAAAGATTGCAAATCACATTGGGGGAAGCTAAACAGGGCATGCTTCTGCTTAGAGAATTACATGTTAGTGTTACTGTGAAATCTAATAATAGTTAGAATACCACATTAAATTGTTCAGTGATAGAAAGCATTACACGTGCAATGAAAGTTACTGAAGGGCTGATGGTTGAGTATATTTGAGTATTCAGCCATTTAGGGGGGAAAAAAAATTTCTTCCTTGCAAATTGCATTAATGTATATTTTTTTATCTTGCTAATTCTTTAAAAAATTTCCCCAAAAATATTCTGCCTTCAATTCATCTTCAATACTGACATTAGCTTATTAAAACTAATGCATCAGTCAGTTGTTATATTGCTTCGCTTTGCTTAAAAAACAACCAAATAAACAGTTGCATTTAAATAAAACAGTTCTGTTTTCCTAGAAAATTTAAGAATAAATATTGAAGATGTAACTGGAAAGAACTGAAAAAGAGAAGTTAATTTTCCTTTTAAATTTCAGACCAGAAGTTCAACAAGCATGTCACCTAATCTGAAAAAATACAAACGCTGTGTTTCAGAAACATTTAGGTCAGACTTTGCAAGAAGACACATGAGATTCTAGCTTCAGCACAGAAAAACTGTCTGTCTACAGAGGAAAATTAGGACACTTACATCTAGTTAGAAGGACTGAGTAATGCAGTAGGATAGACTATGAAGTGGTTACAGGTCTCCAGAAAATTAGATATCCCAAAACTCACGTGACTTCCATTTTAGGATCTCGCAAAATGGAAGAGTCGCCGAAAAAGTTTCACTTCAGATTTGCAAAAGAAAAAGGAAGAACGAGAAGAAATTGAAAGGAAAACCTCTGAGGTTTCTGTAAGAAATACCAAATCACTGAAAGAAATGCAGCGAGACAGGTAATGCGTCCAACTGGGGTTTCATGTGTATTATTTAAGGGTGAGCTTCTTTGTTTCCTACTATAAAGTAGCTTTAATTAGCATTAAAATTATGCTGGCATATGAAGTCAAATTAATGTAGTACATTTGGGGGTGTTTTTTTTTTGGGGGGGGGGTTGATAAAGGTTTCCTTTGCTCAGTTGTGACTTATTTGTCTAGATTTCTGCATTACATAAATAACTGAATGGCAGGTGCAACTTAGTTGTGGGCAACTTACAGAGGATGTTAAATCTGGCTAGTGATGTACCATGAAATTTAGGAAGTGAAACTAGGTATAAATAAGTTTATCTGTTTTTATCAAATTTGCATTTATATTAACAGTGTTTGGTTTAAAATTAGCTTAGCCAGGTTAGAATGAATAAGTTGGTCAGTCATGTTTTAGTCCCTGGGCTAGTTTAATAGAATTGGGTATTTTTCTTTAATACTGTAGTTGTAATTTTCTACTAGTTGTAGACATGTATTTACATGGTGAGTAAATATATGCCGGGTACTTGTTATATCACAAAATAGTAGGACTGTGGGTTCTTCAACTTTCTCAACGCAATTGCTATGTGAATCCATTTGCTATTTATAGAAATAGGTGAAATGCAAATAGTTTTAACTCGCTCTTCAAAGGGAAAGAAAGTAAATACAGTAATGCAACACTATTTGCCCTATAGGTGATGGTGGTTTTATAAATACATTCTCTCATCTATTTTAAATGAATGGCTGTGTATAGCTGCTGCATACATATAGACAGCAAATGAAAAGGACCCTTTTTGAACACATTCTGAGTTTCAGTGCTTTTTTTTTTTTCAAGATAAAAAATACATTTTATTCAGTATCAGCATAGATGTTAATTGTACTTGATGGCCAGTATCTCCACAATTTTAAAAATGGTTTTCTAAAACACTATTGTTGTGCTAGTGAGCTTTTTACACTACATGGAAACATTTAATTGTAAAACAAACAAAAAACAAAACCACTAAAGTTTAGCTTCAGGATCGACGAACACAATGTTCACTACAAATTAGTTAAGCGTTTTGGTACAGTATTTAATAAGACAATAGTCTTCAGGTGGCAGTCTTCCACCCTTCCAAACTAAGTACATTTCCCTCTCTTAACTTCCTTTGAAGAAACATAGTTATTACAGTTTTCCAAAAATTTTAACTGGATTCCTTGGAGAAAGACCAGTTTTGGCAGCACAGCCAGCTGATAACATTAGAATTTATAGAATTATTGGCCATTTTAATATGTGAAAAGTTTTATTTAACTTTGGAGAGACAGCAGGATTCATTTTAATTTACCTACTGCTTTTTTTCTTGCCTCAAGCATTTAGTAGCTGAAAGACTTTTTTAAAACCCACCTGTTCACCAGGTCACTCCTTTGGTATTTTAATGAGCCCTGTCTCCTCAGGGAGAAGAGAGATCACGAAACCTACGGTGACAACCAGCCAGCAACTGAACACAAGTGGATTTATTCGTCATATGATGATGTGTTTAGCGTAGAAAAACCATCTTCCAGACCCTCAGTAGCAAAAGATTACTTAGTTGAAAAAGATACCACTGATGGCTTTAAGAACAATGAAAAACCTTTAGCTGTACCATCTAGCACAGAGAATTTGCAGAAGTGGGAGAGCTATGCAACAGGTGAAACGCAAATTCCATCTAAAAGCCTGTCCGAAAAACAGAGCTCAGCTCCTTTGTCTACTCACCATTCAGTGAATGCACAAACTGGGTCAGCTCGGGTTTCAGCTTCTCTACCCAGAAGTTACCAGAAAACTGATACCTCTAGGTTAACATCTGTGGTTACACCAAGACCTTTCGGCGTCCACACACGAGGAATCTCATCACTTCCTAGATCATTTACGGTAAAAATATCCTTTTTCTTAATGTATATGAATTATTATAATCTTAAATAAGTCACCAAACAGTACTTTTAACATCATAATTAATTACCTTCCAAATTACCTGTGATTGCAGTACACAGGGTATATTAAAAATGGAGCAGATAATTTTGTTGCTATGTTCAAACATTTACTGATACATATTTTAAATGATCACTTGTTGACTGTACTGGTACTTTGATCAGACTGTGTGAATAGTAATATCTTTTTGTAAAGTTTCCTGCCAGAAAATTTTTTAAAAATGTGTTACAGTTTTCTGGAACTTTTTCTTTGTATCAGATAATTGCTAATAAATCAGGACAGCATCTTATGTGGTGTAAATGCAACTTGATAGAACAGTGAGATTTTTCTCCTTTGTACTGAAACACAACATGGAAAATCAGAATCTGTGTAGATTTTTCATAGCTTTTTCAAAAGCCCTTAGTTTCTCCAATTTTGCATCTGGTAAATAGGTAAGCTTTTGAAAGCATATGGTTTGATTGTGTCACTCCTGAATTCAAATCTGGATTATTTAGTTTCCTGCTTTCTGTTAAGGCAAGGAGTAAGTGGTATTGAATGGAATGACTAAAAAGGTAATTGAAGAGAAGGAAGAAAGGTCAAAGTGCTTTTTTTTGGTTAAACTTTTTGGATTATTGAAATACTCAGTTTGTGGCTTGTGGATTTTTAAGAATTGCTTTTCTATAATAACATTTTAATTCTAGATGGACGATGCCCAGAAGTATAATGGAGAAGTAGATAGAGCCAAGAGAGCTCCAGCTTTGTTCACCAGCAATTCATTTTCACAGCCAGAAACAAGACAGCCTCTTTCTACCACTGCATGGAAAAGTGGTGTTGAAGATGCAGAGGATGAGGAAGAGGAGGAGGAAGGTATTAAAAGAACACATTTGCCTATTTCAGTAGCCTCTACTGCATCCCAGGACCAGGATGCTGGAAGCCATGGTCTTAAATCAGAGTATTATACTTCTCCTGACTCTCTTACAGTTGCACCCTCTGCAGAAAGAAGAAGCCTGCCAGAGCCTGAGGTTTCAAGGTCACAGGTGAGTTTGAAAAGTATATAATTACTTGCAGTAATCTAGTAGACCTAGGGCAGTGTGAACAAAGATTATTATTAAAACCTTAGGCCAATATTCTCCAGTAATAAGAGCTGCTCAGAGAAACAACTTAGGCCATTTCATCCAGCCTCTTTTTCAGATAGTATAGGGGAAAAATAGTATTTGCTCTTTTGGTAACTACAACACTTAAAACTCTCTGCCCTGAGCTTCACTGCATTTCTAATTCAAGTACAAAGTGAGTCTGATGTTCAGTTCAACATTTCCCAGGTTTCAGTTTTTGTGCCCATGATTTGCAGCAGCAAATTATCTTATCTCCTGAGTACAGTCACATGAGTGACCCAAATTGCACTAGCCTTTATTTGCGCCCTCAAACTGCAGGAGGCAAAATAATTCAGGCGTTAAAAATCTGACCCTTTTTAATGTACCCAGCATCACAGTTTCATCTCTGCTCCCCATTCCCACTCTCTCCCCAAATTGGCCTGAATCAGTGCTTTTTTAAACTAGTTCTCCAGCTAGGTTTTAGTTTAACAACTGTTTTCACTCTTAAACTAAATCACATCCTCACTAATTGTCTGATGCAAAATTTTCCAACTTTTGTTCAGAAATTGGATCTAGTGTTCTTTATAGAGCTTTGAGGACTATAAGGTACTGTATTCATGAAGCTGTTGACTGTTGCTGTCTCCTGTCAGTCTCAGGTTTCAAATGTAAATTGAATACTAATAGCTTCAGCTGTCAGTAGCATCCTGCAGTTGAGGTTACTAAACCTCAAAGATCATGCTGCAAGTTGCATTCTCCACATTTTTTACATTTCTCTAAATGCTAATTATGTCTACTGCTGAAGCAAAAAAACCCGAATGCTGATCATGAAGTCACTCCATATTCTTCTTATTCTTGTTTTAATATTGTTTTGGAAGTGTCAGCCTGTTTGGACAGTAGCTTGTTTTTCTTTAATCAAATTTTTCTTGAGAGAGCAAGATTTGGGTTTTTTTTTTTTTTTTCAGTTTACAGATTTTTAGTACTGCTTTTGGCCTGGCAGCTCTAAACTGCCTGCCTGGTCATCATAATTAATTTATTTAATTGTTGTTTCCAAAGTCCTGTTTGTTACAAATAGGAGGAGATTATGATAATTTAAATAATAATAATACAAGGGTAAGTAGAGCGGTTGCTGTTAAATTTGGTAGGATATGTATTAAATTAGATATAGGGACTTCATGTGCCCATTTTTGCTTTAGAAACAAAAATTTTAGGTTCAGGTTTCATTTTTGTTCACTGCAGTGATAAAAAGACTAAGCCTAGCTACTGTTTGGTTATCAGGCGCACGGGTGTTTTATACAGCATGCATCAAACAAGATGTAGTTGAGGTAGAAAATCCTTTTCTACTTAATCTGCTGGTAAATCATTTCATGGCCAGGTGAGAGACTGATAGTCAAGTAAATGCTAAAGCACTAATGTTGAGTTTGTAGACCAATATAATCTTTGGAGAGAACCTGTCAAAGCAGCAAGGCTAAATTCAGTGAATGGAACTGGACTCTCCTGTCAGGTGGAGTAAGAGTAAAGATCCATTCGTAGTTGGGGAAGGTAAAAAGATCTCATTTATTCTTTTAAGGAACAGCTTAATGGCCTAAATCTTACTTCATACATTATTCTTTGCTGAACTTTAAGTATAGTAGTAAAATTTCAATATACGGTAATACCGTATTTTCTCACTTACTACCCACACATTTTTCCTACCCTCCTCCCCCTACAAATTGGTATGTGTTTTAAGCAAAGAAGCTGATCTTCTGACCAAGATAGAAACATCTTGCTTTGATTTCTACTCCACAGTGCAGCAACTCATGCATTACTGGTCAGGCAGCTGATGGCCTCAGTAGACTTAATAGCTTATTGCTCCTCACCCTGGAAGAGTTAACAGTCATCTCTCCTTTTTAATGATCTTGATGTTCCACTAATCAAATTAAACTTTTTAGGTGATTTTGCTGTTTGCCACCTTCTTCTGTTCTCTCCCTTTCTATTTTACAACCTCAGAGATTCTTTAGCTTTTTCAAAATCACAGATCCCACCTATGGAGACCAGTCTTCAGCAGTAGCTAATTTTCAGCGTTAGTTGAGCAGGAAAGCAAGGGTGAGTCAGCTGCTGATTAGGCTCTATCTCTACTCTGCATCTATAACTCTGGGGTAAAAAAAATCTTTCTCTCCCCCTCTTTCATTCTGCCTTTCATAAAAAAGGAGCATATTATTTTCTGGGGCTTGTATGTGAAAAAATATGGAATTTTGACTTGATGCAGTCAGTTAAATAACTAAAGAAAAGTAAGAACCTATGTATGGGCCAGTGCCTGTAATAGCTAAGTAAATTGCACGCTGGTTCAATAAACTGTAAATGTCTGAGTTTTGCCAAAAATGTTTCTTTCTTAACAGAGAGAGATACCGTTTTTTCATCTGTGTCTTCTAGTCTGCTATTATAACATCTTCTCCTCTGATTGGTAATTGTCTTCAGACTCATGATCCAAAGGGTTGACTTAAGTTTTTTGAATGCTTCCACATATTGCCATTGGAGCTGGTGTCTGTGCCTTTTTCCTGCTTCTCTTTGCTTGTTAAACTCTAACACATTCCCCTTTACTAACTTAGAGTACCTTTGCTTACTTAATTTGGTTTGATATTACAATGTAGGATTAGATGTTGAAGTGTTAGGTAAATGAAAGGGGAGAATAAGAAACAAGGGTAACCATATTTGTAACCATATGAATAGAGATTTATTCCAGTAATTATGCAGATAGTGGTAATCTATTGAGCTAAAAATGGCCCACACTGCCACAGCATGTGGTTTAGTAATAGAATATTGTTTTGGGGAAATGTATCCATTCTGACAATTTCCAACAAGAAAAAGCTAAATGAATCATTTCAATTTTCCCGTTATGGCAAAAACATCAGTGTTTGTGTTTGGATCAGGGAAAAACTATTAATTAGGCTTTTCATTATATTAAACTAAATATCATATCACTGAATAGTTGAGAATGTTCTGATAGTAAACTAAATATTCTTACTTTATCAAAACAGAAGGCTTAGATAAGTTCAAATTGAATTTTTTTCAATATTTTTGTTTTGCAGGGAACTTTAGCTTTTTGTTCTGACTTGTAACAATTTTTGAAGTATCAGTTCCCCATGGAATGGACTGTCTGGCTTCCAGCCAGGTCTAGGAATTGCTTTATAATCTAAAATCACCATGTCTAAGAACAGCCCATTGACTTTCTGGAACTCTGCGGAGAGACACTGGTCCAAGTTTGGTGCATCCAATTTCATAACAGTGTACTCATAAATATAGATTAAATGAGTTACAATTATCCAGCTTTTTCAAATTCCCGCTATAGTCTCATGAGGCAGTGAGCACCCCAAGTATACTAGAATATGTGCAAGGACTTACTAGGGTTTTTTCTTCTTCAGATGCTACAATTGGTGCTCCTAGGGGGGATGAAGTGTATAAAAACTAACTGCCCATTTTTTTTAAATTGAGATCATAATGTCTTTCCAATTCCTATAGAATCTTACCACAGGATTTTGACCTGAGGAACCTGCTATGATGAATGTAATAATAAACAAACTATACATGACTACAGGAAACAATATACATTTTAAATTACTCGCCTAAATAACAAACAAGCAAACAAACTAGTTAGCATGATCTACAAGGAAAACCATTTTAAAGTCAGTTAATAGATAATTAAAGTGTACATTGTGAGTAGCCTCACTTATTTAGTGGATAAACTTTCCCTCATGTAAATGCCTGTGATACCAGATACTGCAGTGTCATGTTTTATTTTTCAGGACCAGTACAGTGAAATGAGAATCAGTATAAACCAGAGACCTGGTAAGAGGCACAACTTTGGGTTTACAACAAATTGGAATACTTCTGGGGTCTTTGTGCAATCAGTTGAAAAAGGTAAATTCATATTTAATCCTCTTAGAGACTTTGTTCCTATTGTTAATGCACTGAGGCTTTCAAATAAAGGCATTTACTTGTAAGAATTGATGGAAATATTCCTAAGAATTCAGAAGGGGGTAGAAAAGAAAACGGGGAATACTTATTTGATTGTTAAAAGCTAAATATTCTACAGTGCCTTTGTATAAGTATCACTTAACTTATTTAATATTAAGCATGTTCTGAAACAATTGTATATCCATAGCATAAGGTTTTGTGATGCCTGAAGCAGTTTAATGTTTTGGAAGATAAAGACATACTGTTCTTTTCTCCTATATTTTTAAAGGTGTTAGTTCCTACTGTGTATAAACCCAGGTGCACAAGAAAGATTATTGTTACCAGGCATATATTTCGTTTCAGGTTTGCCTGCCTCCACTGTATTGAACATTGGAAACTATTACTTTTGAAAAGTAACTGCAACCTCTAAATTCTTTGACTGAAATTTAATTTTTTTTCAGAACAGAGGTAGTAAAAATCAACTGGAAGTTGCATTCAGAATTGGAATAAACAGTAGACAGTAACTAAAGCTCCGTTTCCTTTAGATATGTATTAATATCAAAGATTAAGATTCTTGTCTCTCCTGTTGGGGATGACATTTCCTTTTTACATTTCTGAGTTTTTAGTGTAGTTTGTTTTAAAGAGCAAACTATATTTTAATGAAGTGTTAATTAAAAAGAATAATTGTTCAGAAAATATCATCTTTTATATGGTATATGTTGTTTTTCAGTAAAATTCACTCCAAGTTTTGCTATGTTCATTTTTATACCTGATGGCTTAGTGCACAATAAAAAAAACAAAACAAAACTCCAAGGAAAGGAGAAACTGTTGCAATATAGCTTTTATTAAACTCTTTTTCATAGCAAGAAAAATGATTAATTGCCAACTTATGTATTGACTTTAAAGTGAAAACCAGGACTGTGTTTACATCGGCTGGGCCCTACTAGATAAACAGAATCAAACAATGAATAACCCCTTTATCCAAGAGTAATTTAAAATTGTTCTCATTGCCACTAGGCCTCTCTTTTTATGCCAGTTACTCTGGGCAAAGATCTCTCTCTGTGCTGCCTACTGTAAATCAAAATAAGAGTAACATTACAGTAATGCTGGTTAATGTTTATAGGATTGTAGTGCGCAAAGGTCCCTGTCAACTCTGATTCTGGGCTCTGCCATGCAGGGAAGGGTGAATGTTTGGTCGTGGCTATCTCAGTTTATACTTTGTCCTAACCATGAATAACATGTCAAAGTACAAAGGAAATGACAGTAACTTTTTTTTTTTTAACTGAACTGTGCCTAATATTTTCACATACATGGTGTGGTTAATGCTGCCTTGAAAGCTAACCAGTGTTCCATCACTGTGAGGTAGCTACATAATAGTTACAAAAAAATAAGGGCAGCACTTGAAATGCCAGAGCATGCTTTCACTTTTTTCTGCTCATTTCTTAACGCTTGCTTCATATTTAAAAGAATGTTGACATTTTAGCAAACCATCTTAACTACGTTGTTTTCCTTAAAATATTTTCAGTGCCTTTCATTCTTGGTTTTTACAGTGATTTATATGCTTCATATATCTTTTTATTTTAAATGCTCTGATGACAAAAAAACATTGTGCCAAACCAGCATGCTCTTGATATTTGTTCCCTTCAAAAGATTTTTAAAAGTTGAAGTGCATATTTGACCAGAGTCCAGTTAACACCCATAAAATAAACCAGGGTTGCAGTTTTTTTTTGTAACAATTTCTACACCTTCTACTAAATAAACAAAGAAAAAGCCTGAGAAAATATTAAGTGACCTAGCCAGTTTCTCCACTGCCCTGTAGTTCTCCACACCTGAAACGTCCCTCTTCTCCCTTGCCCATTTACAACCAGTATTTGAGATGACATGAGTGACCTAAGGATACACGTGACTGAAATATACCAGGTGTAGCCATATAGGGCTGTCTTCTTTGCAAACCAAATTTGACCCACTTTCTTTGCACTTTTTTTGTGATGTGAAGCTAACCAAGCACTGCAATTTGTTCTATTGCAATAATATCCAAATGGGCTAAAGAAACACTTCTGTGGAAAATAGGAATAGAAAAAGAAAAGATTTACATTTTTAGCAGAAAATGTTTTTTGCTTCTAGTGGAAATTTTGAAAAATACCATAACTCACTTGCTTTAATTATGATCTAAAATTAAATCCTATGCAGTAGCAGGAAAAAATTCAGTTCATTCAAGTGCTTATTTAGTTTTATGTGCATAGATATAATTTAGAGACTCTAGCAGTTGCCATTCATTCATTCGTATAGTGATTTTTGTATGTTTTGTTCTTTGTAGTTTATGCTTTCTTAGTCTTACTTGATAATTTGAACTTCTTCTCTCATAGTCAATTGTTGAGTTTCAACTTGTTATAAAGTAGTTGTTTCAGTATGCCTCTCGCTTTGAACATTAGCTTTGACTTAGTTTAGTCAGCTTTCTAAGCTTATGGGGGAAGAATCTTCTAAAGTGACATTTCAGTGCATGACCAAAATTATTTGTTAAGGAGTATTAGAAATATGGAAAGATAAGTATTTACACCGTCAGCTGAGTCTGAGATATTTCCAGTTACACACATTATGTTTAAAAATATATTACACATGGCATTATTTCAGTTGTGAAAAAATAAAATACAGCATGCTTCCTGGATAGCACAACATTTTATTGGACATGATACTGCACAGTTATTTTACAACCCAAAGACACCAGATTTTGAAAGTAATTTTCATTAATCTTGTATTGCATGAGCAGTATCTAGAAAGACATGGATTCATCTATATTTTTTCATTCCTATACCTTCTTCTGCCTAGTCTTTATTCCATAATATTGTACGTATAACATGCAGCAAAAGCTTGGATTTACAGTGGTGGTGTATTTTTTTTGGTTTTGGTTGCTTTGGTGAGGATCTACGAGAGTCCCTTTGAGTCCTCAAATTTTAAAGAATAGTCAAATGAATGGAATATTGAATTTCTTAACCAGCATTTAATTCAGGAAGAAAAGAGAAAATGTTCCATTTTATTCATTCCTGTACCCTAACATTTTAAGATGCTGGGAAATTTCTGTTCTTTTAATCATTCTGCTGCTTACTGTGTCACCCCTTGGAAGTCAGTGCCCAGGACTGGTGGTCCACTCCCTTAGGTTATGTGTCTGCTACGTAGTGTGATCTCTACTCCCAAGTAGTCTGGCTTTTGATCATGTCCTGTCTACCTCCTCTCCTTGTTCTGCACCAAAGGGAGATGCATGAAGGGGGAAGCTGCTTTTGAGGTGAGGTACTCTTCACCACTAACCCTCCTGCTCCTCCTTCCCTCCCCCACCGACGCTAAGTATAGGTGGTCAAAAAACCTGAGGCTGAATTGATTCATCTTCATGGGTTAGTCTAAGCTGCGGAGATTGAACTGATAAGCAAATGATCAGACATTCACTTTTGACTCCAGAAATACAGACACATGCCTACAGTGGTGCAGGCCAGAAGCTGGGGGGTGTTAAAGCATGCCTCCCTGCTCAGCTGAAGCAGACAGCTTGGGCCAAGGCTAGCCTACCCACCCTGCAATGGGTGATTTGTGGGGGAGGTGCAAAGCACCCTGAGATGCTGAGGGACTGTGAGTGAACTTGAATGTGGAGGGGATCTGGGACAGAAGTTCAATAAAGTAATTTAACCTAAATCAGTTAAGCCTGATGATTCATCTATCCAGGTTTATCTTAAACTGGTTGAAATCTGCCAGTTTGAAAACAGCTTATGTGCCCTGTACTTCTGTTGTGTTTCAGATTTGAACAGGTTTCCAATCTCTTATGCCAGTTTACATGTAATTTCTGTCCTTAGCCCATGTAAGTCTTGAATCTTCTGTCTCTGGCAGCCACAGTGTCTTCACTACTGTATTTCTGGGTTTGGTGTAAGTGAACAGGGGTGGGTAGTATGTTGTGCTTGAGAGCAGCCCTCTCCAGGAGTCCTGCAACATAGTATAGCTGTACCCATAATTCCTTGACTTCCAGTGGTGTCACATTTTAAATGCCATCTAAACTGTTATTTGGAGGCCCTGGCTCTTATTTGTAAAATCTTTGCAGGGATATCATAAAAAGTGGAGATGAGTACTACATGAACAAAGTCATCTGCTCTTGCCTGTACAGGATTTTCTTACAGGATTTTCTAATGTTGCATACAGTCTGTTTCTAAAAGTCCTGAGTACTGCTTGCACCACTTCCTTTCAGAGACTTTTTTATAATTCAACAGAACTTCTACTTAATTTTTTTCCTTATCTACAGCTTTTACTTTCCTTTCTTTAACTTCATCTCACTGCCTTTTAAGTTTCCTGCCTCTGATCTGTCAGGTTTCCCTCCAGTAGTATCCACTCCTTTCAGGTATAATTCACGGAATCCTTCTCCAAGGGAAAATAACTTTTTAGCCTCCCCCCCCCCCCCCACTGAATTGAAAGGAATTCAACTTAAGTCCATATCTTGCTTGCCCCTTAATCTGGTGCTTTAGAGCTTCTCATAAATTTGTCTCTTTTCTGGTGGTTTCTAAAATTATACATACTGTACACCAGGTTGGTAGAATTCAAGTTCAGCCTAGAATAAAAGTAGAGCTTGGTTGAGCTATTGAACTTGCCAGTAATTTAAAGAACCCAGAAAAATTTAACTTGGAATACAGCCCAGCAGTATCTTAACTAAGCTCAGCCCTGGTTAATTCTGAAATAACACAAATTGCATTTCAGTAAGGCAGTAGGCAAAATGACATTCACTTCAGGTGCACCCAGAAATCCAGAATGCTAGCAGGGTACAAACTGCAAACAAACGCAACATGAATGCATTTTTGGCAGATACCAGGGTGCTTGCATTGCCTTGCCTTCAAGATCAGACTTGTCAAGAAAGAGGCAACAAAAATCTCAAAATAAACAAGTCAGTCACAGGTATGAATATGTAAATCTGAAAGGCTCAGGCTTCCTCTATGATTCCTGCAGATGTTTTAATAGAAAAGAAAACATTATTCCAACATTAACCAAGATACCCAGCACTAAATGGACCAGAAAGTCCAATGCACGGTAGTAATTCTTCCAAGCTTACTTAACTCTCCAGCTACAATGAATATTGATTTCAGGAAACAAAATGATTGGCTATTTTTTCGATTGTGACAGTGACAAAAATGATCTGAGTGGTTTTTTTTTCCTCCCCAACTTCTGGTGTGTTAGGTAGCCCTGCAGATCTTTGCCAGCTGCATGTAGATGATGAAATCATTGCTGTCAACGGCACAAAGGTTTCACACATGGACCCTCCTGAGGGGGAAGAAGCCATTGCTAATGCGCTAGAAACTGGAAACCTGGTCATGGATGTCAGACGATATGGAAAGAATGGTGAGTTGTTTCACAGGGCAACTTCAGTATGCTTAGTAAGGTGAATATGCTTTGTCTTTGAGCTCGATGCATGTGTTGCAGAGTCCCATAATCCTTACTTTAAGTGTTTTGTTAGTGTGGCTGCTTCATAATAACACAGCTTGGTATCCTTCTTTTTTGGTTTCCTTTTTAACCATTTATACTGCAGCAGTCTTCACTGGCAAGTCTACTGATCTTAATTTAGTGACAATACTTATGCACTGGCCTAATTTTTGATGGAACACAAAGCTACAGGTGTGTCCTAGGATTGTTTCTTAGGTGTGTAAGGAGACTATATAAAGGGATAGAAAATGTCCTTTCTTGCCACCTCAGTTGCCAGCATGTGTGAAGGCGGTTGTTTGTTCAGATTGGATAAACCACCCCTATCTTTCCTGACAGGTTTTGGAGACAGCAGCTTTGCCCCCATCTTCCCCTTTGGGTATAACACTCCACCCACATTCCCTTCTGAACAGTAGGGAAAGGAGCAGGAAATATACATGATGCACAGTGGAGCAGAACCTAGTATGTTACTTCTGAGATGTGATGTGTCTCATTCAAAGGAGGACTGTGGGAGTTAGCCTTTCAGGCCAGGTGTAGGCATTACACTTTTACTGGTCTAAGTGATTGGAAGCTGGTTTATACCTGTAACAGAACAGAAGTTCGGCACGCAAAACCAGTCTATACCCATAACAGGACAGAAGTTTGGCAAGCATAGACTGATTTTAAAATGGCAGAACCCAGTCTAATATTTGCCCCCATCCTCTCCAAGGGTGAATATGTGTTCTGTTTGGTACTTACCTAAACTATGCCACTTACAGAAAACTGTGCAGCTTTGATCAATTCCACCTTGGAATTTTTCAGTATCTGTACTTAGTTTTAGGGTTAAAAATTCCTTCCTGGCTATGGTACCACCATTCTGGCTCTGCATGAAGCACTAATCCATACATCCTTCCTGGTTTGAAGGAGATCTGGCAAAGCCTCAAAGTTTTCTGTTGGCTTGGCCCTAACACATTTTGAGAGTCAGACAAGGAATTTCCAGTGACCACATATGTCTCATATCAGTGATCTTTTTACTTACACTACTACAGCTTGAGTGTCATTTGGTGGGGCAGGAAAATATAGAATAGGATATTAAACCAAAAAAAACCCAGCCAAAATGCTTGTTAAAACTTGTCCAGAACCTTTGGTAAATAATGAGTGACAGGCTCCAAGAAAAATCAAAAGCAGCAGACCCTGGAAGCTACTGGTATTGATCTTAATTTGGTTCTGGATTGAAGGGTGGCTGCAACTCTTGTATGAGATTAATGTTAAGGTAAGGTTAGCTTTCCCTTCAATCATGTTTCATTTGGCTTGTATAATCCTTTCTTGAATCAATAACTTCCTAGTTTATTGGAACAAGGAGTAGTATTTGCCTTTCCTACTTGTATACAGTTAAATTTGTGACCTGTCATTGAAAACCCAGTCCCTGGGCCTCATTAGCTGCATAATATAGTCAAATTCAATGTGGATTATAGCAAATAATCAATAGGGACAAATTTGATTTATCATGCCCCTGGAAAAATATGGCAATAGTGGTCCTGGAGCTCTGTATGTATTTAAAACCCTGCTTTCTGTCCAGGATGGCTTGATAATAGTCGAGAAGAGTTAGATTTAGCAATGAAGTTTTTTGTGGAAAAATTGCTTTTAATGAATAATAATAAATATATATCTCGATTTATGTAATATATCTAAGTAAACTTGCTAATATCTTTTGAGCCCTGCTTTTGACTAACTGGCTTATTGGGGAAGGCGGTCTGCTTATAAAAAGTCTAAGCTTTTCCTGTCTCTTACAATGTCTACATAATTCAGCTTTCTTCTTTTTCTCCTCTCTTTCTCCATTGTGTATGTGTATGTTTCCTTGTTATTGTCTGATTTGAATGTATTTTCACTAACTCTTGTTCTTTACTTTGGCATCTCTGTCCACATTCATTTCTTGATCTCCATGTGCCAATCAGATTGGGGAAAAGACCAGCCTTCCCTGCCAAATGTAAGGCATAAAATCCTCAATCTCACCAGTCTGGCTGCCAACATTGTAGGTACATCTGAAAATAAATGGATTGATGCAACTTCTGGAGATCATTTTCCCACCACGTCTTCAGACATATCAACAAAAACAGATTTCAACAGCAGTCTTCAAAATTCTGTAAGTTGCTTGTAGTTTTGTTTCATTGTGTATTTTTTCCAGAATTGTAGAATGTTGGGAGAAGAAATTGACAGACAAGTTTTAAGATCTTAAGGAGAAAAACAATAAATCTAGCAAATGAGCAAGATTTTTCAATTGGCTTTTTAATTAGTCTCTGTTTTAATCCATCACTTCCTGTGTAAATGTCTAACTTTTATTTAATGTACAAAGCCAGTATAACTGTTTACACAGAGTTTTAGAATGACAAGGCAGCAGTATCTTTCTGGTAGCAATTTAGTAAGCAGTTGGCTTCCATATGAATATGCAAAGAACTCCTACTATATTAAGATGACATTTGCCTGGATGTAATTGAAGAATCTCCAGAATAAGCAGCACAAAGAAACCTCATTTTGGCCACCTTGTGGAAGGGAATGCTCTTTACTGATGCACTGAAAGCTCTTGTGCTAGATGACACTTTCCACTTGGGGTAAGAGTGGGTTGATGGCATGATGGAGTGTTGGTCCACTCCTTTCTCCTCCATTAACATAATTTAGAGCTTCTACTATCTGGCCAGGTTATAAAAGAACAGGGATCTAGTTTGACTCTACTTTGTCCAAAAGGACTACAAGTAGAGGGACCCCACCTCCCTAGTATTTAGATTCCATTTTCTTTTCTAAATGACAATGCTTTTACTGATTAGATTTCTTCTTTTCTTCTGAGCCTGGAGCTTTTTAAGTAGGTGTGTGTGGTGGAGAGAACTTAGGTTTTGTTGTCTTGTTTCTGGGAGTAATGCAATTGGTCTAGCTTAGAAAAAAGCAATACTCATCTTTAAAAAAAACAAAAAGAAAACAAAAAAACAACAACAAAAACCTTTTTGCCATTTTTATCTTAAGTTGCTACAGTGTGCGTAATACTCTCTTTCAGCTTCACTGTCATAAGGATAGGGAAGCAAAGAAACTATGAATACTGTGGTGATGTTAGTTAATAAATTAAGAGAAAAAATATTTTTAAGAGTGACTGCTGTATTTCCATGAACAGGGAATCAATAAATGTTAAAATGTATACAGGCTTTGACGAGGACATGTGTTCTGAATATAAGCCTTAGAACATTACTTCTTTAAAAATGGCTACTGCAGGTATTTAATAGTAATGCGCGTGATACTCTTCCAAGAAAGGTAAAGTTTATGCTTTTAATTTACTTAAACTCTCCCCCTTAGTCCCACCTCAGGGATTCAGATAGTTACCATTTTGGCTTATAACTTTTTTCTAAACCAAATTTAATTGTTTCTTTCAGGCCATCAGCTAATGATGGGCATTAATTCTAGCAAATGCCTGTAGTCTATATACAAAATATATTAGAGAAAATTTGTTACAAGTTACTCATAAGTTATAGGAACTGTCTGGCATACTTTAACTTTGTGCAATTCCTGTGAGAAAAAATGGTGATCGTGACTGATAAATTAAAATGAAACCATGGAATTGTATTTAAATAGTTTTTCTTTTTGTAGGATACTGGAGCCAAAGTGATAAATGGGATGCAAGCAGATTTGTGTTCCAATGAGCAAAAAGGTAAACTACTGTCTTTTGTCAGCTAAATTTGTAAGTTAATTGTAAAGGAGAGAAGAGAGAATACAGCTATTGTACCTATAAATGTTAGTGGAATACTGGAGGCTGCATGTCTAGCACACAAGTCTGATTGCACTCAAAATAGGCAGGGTTGCGCTACAGCAGAGGTTCACAAACTTTTTCTTTATTACATACCTCCTTCAGATGTATCAGCTGCATGCATATCCCTACCAGCATACCTTTTATATTTTTAACCCATTAAATGCTAATTATTCTAATAAAAAATTAAATCTGCAGTTACACAATTTTTCCTGTGTTCCTAGTGATGTCTTGCATACCACAGTTTGGGAACCTGTGTTACAGGGAATGCTCGGTAGTTGAAGAAGAGTGGCTGTAGCTTCACTGGTTTTGGCTTCACTTCACATTCCAAGAAAGAACCCTCCCCCTCCACCCTGTTTACTACTCACTTTAGGACAGGGTTTTCACCCTCCTCAAACACTGGGCACTAGCTACAGCCAAGGCTGGGGATTTTGATTGGGATGTACCAGTGCTCACGCTGACATTTAAACTTTGAGATTCCTAGGTAGAAAGCTTGCCCTTCTGCTGAGAGTCAGACCTAGTGCCATATTTGAAGTCAGGAAGGAACTGTACCCCATTGTCAGGTTGGTACAGACTGTAGGGGTTTTTGCCTTCTTGCATAGTGATGGGAGGGGCCCTCTTTGGATCTGTTGATCATATTTTAACAACCCTTGCAGTAGCAGAATATTAGCCACTATTGGCCCCTTGCCTTGCCTGTGGCAGGTTAGGGGGTTATGCCATGTGATTTGTGTCAGGGTTGGCTGTCATTTTAGTAATAGCTTAGATAATGAATTTGTATAGGATGGCTTGGATAGATATGATCCTGCCTCTGGTGGAGGGATTGGACTAGATGACCTCCGAATGTCTCTATGATTCTTTGATTTTAAACAAAGCCCTAACAAGAACCTGGATCTCAGTATGGCTGGTTATAGACTTCCTGTGCTGTAGGGATTAAGGAAGGGAAACAAAGCAGAGACAGAAAATAACTCCACATAGTGCAGTATTGTTTATAACAGATTAAAGCAGTTTTGTATCAGTCCTTCCATAGATTTTGAGTGTCAGTGCTTTCTCTGCCCTTCAGGCACTGGAGGGATGGGATGAAGAGAATCTAGCTCTGTGGGTGAGTCCCCACATGCAGGAGTATGTGCCTGTAGACACAAATAGCAGAGGCACAGATTTGTGCTGCTGCTTTGTGCCCCATTGCACACCCCTGCAGTATTACCTGGTGTCCCAGTACAGCAGGGATGCAGATCTGGCAGCATGGAGCCTGGCTGGCAGGCAGAGCATTGCTCTGGATGGCTAGCCCTCCGCTTGTTCCAGACCATGCTACTGACACATGCTCTGTGCTGGCTTTTTCCCTGGAGGTTTTGGGGTTTTTTTGCTACTGGATTTGTGGCACCACAAACCTCACACCCTTGAATGTAGGGACTCGCCTTATGTGTTCAGGGTTTTTTTTCCTCCCACTATAACTCAAGTATGATGACTTTTTAATACCTCAACTGCATAGTGTGGGCTTCATGTAACAAGTCCTAATGATGTTATTAATAAAGGTACTCTTTGGGGGTAGAGTAAGGGAAAACAACCACTTAGGTCTCCTAATGAATATCTAATTCTCTAATGGGAACTGCTTACTTAACTATATCTTATAATAGCTTGCCTGATTGATTTATATATGAACCCTGAAGTGAAAGCACTTGTGAATGAGAAAGTATATGCACTGGCTAAAGCCATCCCATTGTATTATGACTAAGGGTCATAGAGGAGGAGAAGAGAAGTCAAAGAATTCGAATTTTAGAGCGATTGTAATCCTAAACATGGGCTGTAAAAAAGTACCAAACCTGGGATTTCAGATAAAGCAAACCATATTGCCAGTTCTGCAGTTCTCCCACACAAAGTGGGTCATCTGTGCTGTTATGTAGATGGATTCTGCTTATACTAAGTACTAATCTCTGTGGTATAACCTACTAAAATGTACATTAGTTATTACAAAAGATTAGAATTTTTTTCCATCTTTTTTTCAAAGTGATATTTTTACAGATTGAAAAAGTCTGCTAACTGTAATTTGTTATCCAGTGGTGATAGTCAGTTAAAAAAAAAAAAAAGTAAGCACCATATTGACTTGTGTTCTTTGTATTTTTCAAATAGAATCTGAATCTATTTCTTTGAAAAACTTAAAAAGACGATCACAATTTTTTGAACAAGGTAAAACAAAAAGCTAACGTTTCATGTACTTTCATGAAATTGTTCCCACTGTACATTCTTTCTAACAAGTCTCTGGTGCTGGGTACTATGTCTTTTCAGCATTGTTTGTTGCACCATGACAAAGGAACGTAATTCATTTCCATTCTTTCTCTAGGGTCGTCAGGTTATTCTTACAATTCATGGGTCTACCTTTGTGGTAATGGGTCTTTGTGTGTTTTGTATATCTAAACCTTTTTAAAACCTCTGATGCAAAGTTCAAACATTTTTTTTTTTTTTTCTTCCACTGGGTAACAGAAGGGGTCATGTTCTTTGTTTAGGTATGCAACTACCTACAAAACAGGATAATAAACATTCCAGCACATATTTCATGAAATGTTCACAGCTATCGATAACATTACTCGTTTCAACCTAAATTGCAGTTTGTTCAGAGTCCCTGCTTTCTACAACCAGATTGATATAATGTATCATTCTACTGCCATTCTACAGTAGATAACAGCACTAAATCCAAAGTAAACCCAGCATAAATTTTGAAATGAATTTAGTAGTGTTTTGTTTTTGCCTTTTACAGGCAAAATATATGGCTCTTGTTTATAGTTTTGTAGGGTTGCTTTTTTGTGTGCTCTGCATGTCACATCTCATATCTTCACTAATACTCTAACATTCTGTCTTTTTAAGACTCTTTTGAATGTCAGTATTTTGCTGCAGCCTTTGTGGGTGAAATTCTAGGCCTGTGGAGGAATTCTGTCATTGATACTAGTGGAGCCAGGATTTCATCCCGAATGTGTGGGGTTTTTTAAAGTGACTTTTTTGAAGTGGCACAACGCATTTCTTGTTATGTTGGTAGTCATTTCTAAATGTCTGCTCACATATTTTTAGTGTAATGAAGATGTTGAAATATTTTTATATATGTTGTTGTGTTTTCTTTAATTAAAATATTTTAAGACCCGGTCTTAATCTTGTTTTTGTATAATGAATTCTATGGTGGTATGTTAACTGCCTTTTTTCTCCTTGTTCAAAAAAAGCCTTTCTGTATGGTAAGGCATACTTTTTAGTATTTAGCTATATATCAATAATTTATATTTTTATTAATTTCACTTATGATGCTTTATTATTCTCACCAATACATTTCCATTGTTAAAAGTTTTGTAACTAAAAATAATGCACATAAATAAATTTGACATAGGCCTGTGAGCAATTACAACAATTTGATGTGCTTTTCTCTACCATGTTTTGTTGCATGGCAGGGAAATAGGTTCCAACATTTTTGCTTTTCTGTTACATAACTGTTTTTAATGAAATGTGTCATGTAACTAACATGGTCTAAACTATTGGCTCTCTTGGCATTCATTTTGTTCTTCCAGAAATATTCTAAGAAAAACTCACTCCTAAGAGTTTGTTTCCCACAATTTTTTTTCTCTTAGTTTTTAGTATATCTACATGGTGTGTGCACTTTTGTCACAAAAGCACAAGCTAAGCTGAGATCTGTAACTAACACTAACAAGCACTCTATGGGGGGAGTATTTATATTGATATTTCAAATATTTTATTTTTCACCGCAAGTAAACTTCATGTCACTACAGCTGGGATTATACTGCTAATTCAATACTAAGCAATTACTGGCAGTGTTTGGAAGAATGTATTGCTGTTACAGGGTTATTCTCTTCAGCAGTTGCTCAGATAGGTATTAACTGCAGATGCCTAATGATTCACTGATCTAAATAAAGATAATGGGTCAAATACAAGCATAGTTTACAGTGTAACTAAATAGTATCATAGAATTTCCACAAGCAAACTTTCCACATTTAAATAGGTCTTATAGCCGCATGCAATTATAATACGGTTTTTTTGTCTGTTTCTCCTCCTATCCGTGGATCATACAGGAGGCTCAGAATCTGCAATATCTGATGTGAGTACTTGTTTACACACTGTTTATGAAATGAACTTAATGGTGATCTTGTGGCTGCCCATAAATTCATCAGGGGAGGGCAGCAGGGATTAGGAGATGCTCTATTTACTAGGACACTCCCTGGAGTAACTAGGAACAGTGGCCACAAATTGACAGAGAGCAGATCTAGGTTGGACACTAGAAAGAACTTCTTCACAGTAAAGGTTGCCAGATCTGGAATGGGCTTGCAAGGGCGGTAGTGCTCTCCCCTACCTTGGGGGTCTTTAAGAGGAGACTGGACAAGCACTTAGCTGGAGTCGTCTGACCCCAGCACTCTTTCTTGCCCAGGGCAGGCGTTTGGACTTGATGACCTACTGAGGTCCCTTCTGACACTATCATCTATGAATCTTTGTTTGGGGAAGCCTGCTATTAAGTATTTTACTGGTTTTTATTCTACTTAGGTGTCTCACAAAATTAACCAGATCACTGATTAAACCTTTCTTAAAGCTTGAATAAAGTGTTACAGTTTAACTGCACCAAGTGGTGTAGTACTGTAGGTTATTGTTGCTTTCAAATTGTAGCTACTGTTTTTGGACCTAGTATTTAAAAATATATTTTAAAAGATAGTGAATAGATATCCTCTTCATATGCATCTAATTGTTCTCTTTCTGTTCTAGCTTCCAGTCCCATCCATTAGTGTTCCTAGATGCCGGGTTTGGGATCAAGAGGATGAGAGAAAACGACAAGAAAAATGGCAAAAAGAACAGGAGCGTTTACTGCAGGTACTGTTCAACTTTCCTGTTGCAGATGGGAGTTGCACTGTATATGGATAATGCATAGGATGGTCATTCAGGAAACTCTAAGATCTCGTACAAGCTCTGCCATCTTGCCTAATTTTGGATAAAGAATTTCATTTCTCTACACCTTATGCCCTACTTCTTAAAACAATTCTACCTCTATTGTGTTGCAAAGTGCTTTGGAAACTGTGAAAAGACATGACAGAAATGTAAGGAATTGGGATAAGCTGCTTTTCATTATGTTTACGTTTGGCTAATGCCACATACAGACTTTCAGTTTCTACTAGGAAAGTTGCTCCTCTTCCAGGAGTATACATGAAATAGGAGTAGAAACCAGGAGTATACATGAAATAGGAGTGTTCTCCCAGATCACTTTAATGCATGTCCGCAGCCTGAGTCCTAAGCCTTTCTAACAGCAGAAAAGTTATTTCTCCCAGAGCAAAAATGGCTGCTCCAGGAGAAAAATATCTTGGGAATAACCAGGGTTAAATCACTTCTGGGAGAGTTTCTCCTGGCAGGGCAAATGTTTGTGAACTTGCCTTTTTGAGCTAAGCCACAGCACAGTTATCCAGCATCCCACAGTAATTTGATCCTAGCCCTTCTGGGTGGCAGTATGTTGCTCAGGCTAGATTCTACTGCTCCAGCCAACCTGAGAGCAGAACACACCCCCCCTTCACAATTCCTACATTGTGCTGCAGGGAGATGCAAGCTGACCTTTACCAATCTGAGTTAGCAAATCAGGGCTGCCTTTGTACTACTGCCATTTGCCTCCAGGCAGACGGGGAGACTTCAGAGCAAACTGAGATGTGTACACTGGAGCCCTCTGGCAGCATAGTGTCAGCACCTCAAGATCTCTGTACCTCAGGGGCTTAGCATTCAAATGTCCATTCAAGGGACTCCTGATAACTTTTTCCACCAGGAAAACAAACCTGGGATAAGTCTCCCAGATCATTTGAACATGTGTGCACAGCCTAAATCACACCGGAGAAGAGTTATCTTTATTTTTCTCTTTGCCACCATACAGCTTTCAAATACAAAGGAGTATTTGAAAGGTTTAAGTGGGAAAGGAAAATACAAACATTGTATTGTCATAATTTGAAATGAAACAAATGTTTGTCTTAAAAAAAAAATTATTATAAAACTTTCCTGCATATAATTTCAAACAAACAAAACTAATCAATTTCACTTTTTCTTTTTTAAATCTGTCAAGGAGAAATTTATTTATTTCAAAAAGGTTATTTTAAAAAGAGTTCATATATAACTGTTAGTCTTCCAAGGTGTATGTTTATTTGAAATGTGTGAACTGCACAGAATAACTTGAATAAGCCTTGAATTTTTATTTTAATGAGAATGTCATAGGAGTTCCCTTTAGTTCCAGAATTTCTAAATTTCAGTCTCACTACAAATTAAGTAAGGGGAAGTAATACTTCATGAAGTCTAGGATCTAGCTATATCAGAACTTGTCTTTTTAGTGTTTATATATAAAACTTTTCCAACAGAAGTTTATGCTAATATTTAAATATGTGGCAACAGTATTGTGCAAGCCACAGTATTTCAGAATAACAATTGGCTGGTCATTCATTATTGTAAATGGGAGTAGAGGCACAAAGAGAAGAGTGGGTTAGCATGTTTCATTTGTCTTTAATAACTAACTCTTTCGGCCAATTATTGGTATCCTAAGATATTCAAGGTCACAAAAATCTGCCAATAAAATATTCTTAAACTGTAGTTTGCACTTTCTCCCTCAAAAAGTTTTCAGAAATGCCATTTATGGGTTTTCAAGTTCAGTCCCTTATTAACTTCAATGTCTAATTGTCTCAGAAAAAACAAAACAAAACAAAATAAATACTTTCTTGAGAGTTCTGAAAACCCAGCCTTGGCATTAGCAGTTAAGCTGGGATATTTCCATGTTTTCACATCAATGTGATAGATGTTAGAAGAGTGAAGTATGACCCTGGATCTAGCAGTGCTACAAAGCATGTGCTTAATTTTGAGCATGCCAGGAATCATAGGGAAATGAACAGAATGGGACTACTCGTGCTTAACACTTTGCCACACATTTGTGCAGATTAATTTAATTTAAGGCTAACCATCTAAAAATTGTTGGGATCTGCAGGTGTCATTGAGCATAGTTTGCTGCAGAAGCTTTGTTTGTGGTGACAGTGCACTCAGCAAGACATATAGCTTAATCTCACTTTGCTTATCTCTAATTAACTCTGTCCGTTTTCATACCCTTTGTCTGCCTGTCTGTCTGTTTGTTTGTTTTTTTAGTTTTGTATTTTTAGTTTGTAAACTTTTCAAGGTAAAAGCTTTGGTGTTTTTATAAAGTGCCTACCACATTTTTGGATGCTTCTGGAGATCAATCTATTTGAGCCCAAGGTAAACTTAGAGCGCTGTCCTTAAAGAAAAAGACTTGGCTTCCCACTTCCCTTTTCCCCTTCCTCCTCTATCCCTTCTCTCTTTGTCCCCCCCTTCCTTTCTTTCCTTTTGTTTCTTTGGTCCTTTTGCACACAAAGTGTTAGCCTATAGTTTCAGTATTATCCCTAGTCCTATGATACAGTAGTAGCAGGTTTTCAGTTGCACTAAAACTGATCAAAAGGTAGGGAACATTAAAAATGTGTTGGTGGGCTTTTAGAAGCTGAGCATAAAAACTGGACTCTACTTAAGTCACTGTGAGAATTCCCCTTGACGTCATTAGTCAGGATTTCATTCCATCAGCTTAGACTTCACTACACCAAACAGACTGCTGTATACACTGGAATGGCTTAAAGCAAGTGCTGCTTTATATTGTATTACAAGCAGAGCGCATCACATTTTCTCATTGCTCTGAATTTTTTTTATATATAATCTGCTAGGAGAAATATAAACGTGAGCAAGAGAAATTGAGGGAAGAATGGCTGCGGGCTCAGGAGGAAGCAGAAAAAGAGAGTTCAAAATACCAAGATGAGGTAGGCTGTGATATTGTTTTCCCTTTCAAGCTTTTCCTAGTCCCTTTATTGAATAAGTCCACTGAAGTCGGTGGGACTACCTGCATATGTCAAAATTTAATTACATTCAGAAGTACTTAGTTTAATAGTGGTCTTAAGGCTACACCAGACTGTCTCTGAAGACCTTACATTGGAAATAAACTGCAGCCTTACTGAATAAAATCGTTTAGATATCTCAAAATATCAAGAATTTGGCTGGCTGTTTTGGTGGCTCCTTTCTGCAGCTATTGTCTGTGCCATAGCTGAGCAACCACTCTGGGTGTCTGAAGTGCTTATAGGGCTCTCTTGCTCCCTGTTTCTGTGTCAGATCAAGGAGCAGTTTTTCTCAGTCTTGGCAAGACCATTTCTGTTTGTATACAGTTGTGAACAGGGAGGTGGGACAAATCTGAAACTCGGGCAACTTTAAGCCACCACATTTGCTGTTACAACTTTTCACTATAACATTATCCAAGAAATTTTATTCAAGACCATAAGACCTGTTTGACCTGAGTGAACACATCCTGAAACATACATCAAAGGAACTTCATTGCCATCAGATTTCCCTGAGAGCTAGCTCTTCATCTGCTCACAAAACACAGTATTTTCTTCATCATGTGATGTTTATTTAAAAAGAAAATGCATTGTTTTCCTCTCCACCAGGAGCAGTGTGTCCTAACTGCAGACACGATGTCTATCACTGCACATGCCCCCTTGGCTTCTAGTTGGAGAACAGTCATGGGAGGAGATGCTGATGTTCCTGAAGGAGGTGGAGGAAGTGAACAGGGGGCACAGCAGCAGCAGAATAAGGAAGAGAAAGATGAGGAAAAGAGGTGGCTTCAGGAGGAACAAGGACTCCAGGAGAAAGAAATCCTCCACTTGAAACAAAAAAGCGAACTCCAAGAGCTAGAGCTTGAGCAAAGACGTAAGGAGATAGAACAGCAGTATGCCGAGGACCAGAAGCGGTGGGCGGAAGCAGAGGCAGAGGAGCAGCATCAAAGGTCTGCATTCATAATGGGAGTGAAGTATTTACATGGACTGTGAATGTAGTAACTGGGATGCCTAGGTATTTGCTTACTTACTGCACTGTCTTTGAGACACCTAGTTCAAATATTTTTTATGGCAGAGAGTGAAACACCATCTCCTTCCTTTTATAGCCATCTATTTGTATATTAAGAAAGAAAGGATCAACAGGGGTTCCAGAACTGACTGGGGTAGGTACCTCTATGGGATGGTTCAGGCAAATCTTGTATGAAGGGGGTTGAACCAGATAACTTTGAAAAGTCCCTTCTGAGCCTGTAACTCTAAAATGTTTTTCCTGCTGTTACAAGGAGCTCACCAGGTTAACTTAAAGGAAAGATTAGAAACAAATGTGGTGGTGGTGGTTGTTTTGTTTTCTGTTTTCAAAGACCTATAAATTTGCAGGAAAAGCTAGAGTAGCTGAGAGTATTTTGAACTCTTGTGTAACTAATGTTCCTCAAGTCCCCTCTTTAGCAGGCCAAATGTATTGGGCAAACTGTGCACTTAAATTTGACATAGCATTTTTGTTCTCAAGTTACAGCAAGCGAAGTTTAGGTTGGATATTGGGAAAAACTTTCTTGCTAGGAGGGTGGTGAAGCATTGGAACAGGTCACCTAAAGAGGTGGTAGAATCTCCATCCATGGAGGCTTTTAAGGCCTGGCTTGACAAAGCCCTGGCTGGAATTATTTAGTTGAGGATGAGTCCTGCTTTGAGCTGGGCTTGGACTAGATGGTCTCCTAAGGTCCCTTCCAACCCTAATTTCCTACAATTGTATACTGTATTTACTCAAATACAAGGCAAAGTATTTTCCCCCCCAGTTGGCATTGGGAATAAGTCCCTCATCCCATAAAAGGAAAACTCACCAAATACGTGGTCTTTTACTAAATTACTGCCAAAAACAGCATGTTCTCATCAATGCAAACCAACTGTGAAACTGATTAAATGCAGCCAACACTGAGCATGACTATAAAACATGTGGCCCATATTGGGCAAACCTGCTGATGGGAACCATTTTTATGGCAGTTAAAAAAAAAAAAAAAAAAATGGGTTGGTGTTCTTTTTGCAGGGAAATGGCACTGGGCCTAGAGGTACTTTAGTACCAGGCCAGCACTGGGAGGGCCAGACAGGGGAGGAGCCAGCCCTGATACCCTCCCTTTGGTGCCAAAAATGCTTGATACTAGCCAAAAGGCCAAGATGCTGATGGGAACTTACTGCATGAATGGGTTAGTATAGTCCATCTGAATAAGAACTATGGTAGTCCCCCTCACCACTGACTCTTTTCAAGTCATGGTGAGCCACGTTATTGAATACTGTTCATCCAGAACCCCTCTGTCACCCCATCTCTTAGCTTGGTGCATATGATTAGTGTGGCCCCACCCCACCCTCCATGTGGTAAAGCTAAACCAGGTTGCTTTGCTCTGGCATATAACTTTTTGGAGCATCCCAGGATTCATGACAAGAGCACCTAGCTCCAGTCAAGACTGGGGGCTAATTAGTACATGGATCCTTTGTTGGGGGGGGGGCAGTACATACACATAGTGAGCAGTGCTGAGCTGTGGGGTCAACATGGCTTGAAATGCTGTTGACTCTGGTGGGCCCCAGCCCAATGAACTATGTAGTACATCATGAGCCTTTGGCTTTGGACTAATATCATATATAGCTTGTACTACATAAAGGTAGGTGCCAAGTGCTGTTCAAAAATGTATTTATGGAGTACCTGTGCTAAAACTTGCAGCAGTTTCAAAAAAGGTAACATGCATCAATTCTGAATGAACTAAGTGTATGGATATAATATGAAATTTTTTAAAGTCATGTTTAATTTCAAGGTTATTGTTTTCAAATTTGCTCCTCACTTCATGTACTCAGGAAGAGCAGGGTCTTACAGTAAGAAGAGGGGGAAGGGGCGGCCAAGGTAAAAAGTTGGGGGGAAGCAGAAAGCAAATGGCTACCTAACCACTTAGACTTATTTTCTCTGCTGTGGCAGTATGAGGGGAACAAATTCAAGGCAGATCTTCAATAATTAGATTCTATACCTGGAAAATTATAACAAATTTATAAATTTTCCATATGTAGAATTTGAGTATTGGGGGAGGTCATTTTATAATCTGGGTTGTCTTCTATTTGAGTAAATATGATACATTTAAGAATTGGATGTTAGCAGTGTATTCACAGGGAACATTTTTATGAAGGCCTTTCTTGCCCATTTGACTTTTTATATATATATATAGAGAGAGAGAGAGAGAGTGCTCTGTTTTGTGTGTGTGTCTGTGTGACTGCATTTATTTATTTTTTTGTTTGTTTTGCTTATAGATTTTATAAACATTATGATGAACCTAAAAGCATTGAGGATCGATCTGGTCACTTTCTTGCTGACAGGTTAGTCTGACACTAAATCTCCATACAAGGTATAATTTCACCTTTATTTACTTCAGTCTTGACTTTGGCAGTAAATCTGAACCATTTTGGTGTGATGAAGTGAGACTTCTTATTAGCAATTTTATTTTGTGTAATTTTTGAGTTATGCTTTTGCCTACTAGGAGTTGGATCTGATATGTAGTGTACTTCATCTGATATATTGAGCTTCAGCTGATCAGTCTTAACACTGAGAAAACCAGGAAGCATGTGTATAGGTAGCCTAGAGGTAAGGCTCGGGTCAGGCTTCCTTATTCCTAATAATTGCTACTCTTATAAGCAATTGAACAATGTATGCTGTTTCCTTCTTCACCAGTGCAAGAACTGATCAATCAGCACATTGAACAGAAAATTAGTGTGAGGGACAAGAAATGTTATGCAGATATGTTAAGCATTCTGCATTCAAAGATCTTCTTGACGGAAGACAGTAGTTTTACTTAGGGCTTCGATAGCTGATGTGCATGCAATGATGCCGCTGTAATGTGTTATAGCTGCTGCTTCTGGAAACAGAAAACATGAGGTTATTTATTTATTTTTCAGTATTAATAGAGACATATTGATCTGCCTGCATTAGCTAGAGCTAGTAATATAAAAGTGCTGATAAACTTCTCCTCTGGGCTGCCAGTACACATCGACTTATTCTTCATTTTCTTATACATCTGATGTCCTTCAGCTAAGCTCATAGAGGGTGTGTCTACACATGACACTACATTGCTGTAGCAATGCTCTGTGGCGACCTAGCATCTGTGGGCAAAAACCGTAGTGTTGCAGCTACGTTGCCATAGTGAGGCTCTCCCTCATTATAGCGTGTCGCTACAGTGACATAGTGCCTAAAAATAACTATGCACAGTGCAGTATGGACTGTTCTTCACTGTATTTTAGCAGTTGTAAAAGGAAGTGCTAAAAGACAGTACAGTAACAATGACACCATAATGGCACGTGTGGATGCGCCCAGAGTGAACAAGTGCACGATGAATTACAGCAGTTTCCCAAGAAATGTTTGCAATGCAACACGTAAGGCTTTGTACCTTTCTTTCAGCTGCAGTGGCATTTCCAAAGTGTAAAGTGCTAAATACATCGCCTTGTGCAAACTGGGAGAAAGTGCATGCCTGAAATGTGATATGCTGGGTTGTACCTCATCTTCATCAGCCTTTCAACTAATAATTTTGGCATTCTTTGAGGCAAGGATTATGGGCCTCTGTGTGTATACAGCAGTTAACCAAAGGGTTCTGCACTTATGATTTAAGGCTATGAGCACTCCTTGTAATTTAGCAAGATTGTATTTATACAGCATCAGAAACAATTAACTGCAGTTCCATGTCTAGGAGCTATGGGAAACCAATCATGTTTTTTGTATTTTTAGAAGTAAATCCAGGTCAACTTCAGAATTGGATGATTACACCACAAACAGAAACGGTGAGTACTTCAAATTTTGTTGTTCTTTTTTTTCCTTCATTTATGAAGCATCAATAGCTTTTATGAAGCATGAATACCTTCAAAGGATAGTTAAAGCAGTAAGATAATTTGAAAGTAAAAAAGAATTGCTGGGATCTGCATACAGGTTCACAACATATCACACTTCACCAGAATTTTAAAAGTCAAGGAAATAAACAGCTCAGATAACTATCTGAGGGGTATGGCAAATCACCCAAGACTCAGTCTTTAGATCCAGTTTGGATGCTTTAAAAATATATATATATTTTCTACTTTCAGCTGTAAAGTACTAGGCTTGCTGCAAGAATCATTGGGAGAAATCTGTAGTTTTTGTTATGGAGCGCTCCCTTTTGGTCTTTAAAAACTTTCATACCAGCAGGATTCCTTTTCAGGCAGTGGTATGGACTGCTGTCATGATCATCATCATAAGGAATAAATGCTTTACTAAAAATTAGTAGGGCTGTCAGGTAATCACAGTTAACTTACATTATTAACTCAAAAACCAAATTAATGAGTTCATTTTTTTTAATCACATTAATCACGCACATCATTTTGACCAGTGGAGTGGACCAGCTCCAGACCAGCCAGAATCCATGTGCATGGCCCCAACCCCAGCCCACCCCTCGCCTGCTCCAGGCTCACATACCCACGCTGGGCAGTGGCAGCAGCCAGGCACAAGCTTCTACTTGGCACGGGGGAAAAGAGCCCCTTCTGCCTCACTGCTGCCAGGCCTTTCTTGCTGCAGCTGCCCAGTGCCTGTGCCCAGGCTGCCCTGTAACTCCTCTCTGCTGCCATCATCACTGCCTCTGGGCTGCCCAGCAGGGCAGCAGTGCAGAGGAGCCACAGTGTAGCCTGGGTGTGAGCTCTGGGCAGCTGGAGCAAGAAGGGCCTGGCAGTGGTGAGTGGGAGAGGCTGCTTTTCCTCTGTGCTGAGCAGCAGCTTATGCCTCGCTGCTGCCACTGCTCAGCGTGGACAGGTGAGTCTGGAGCAGGCGTGTAGCAGGTCTGGGTTGGAGCTATTCACATGGGTTCTGGCTGCTCCACTGTGGCCGGGGAGAGTCGGGAGCGGGCACTGGGAGGGCCAAGGTCAGAGCTGGGGCTGCACGCTGTTGGTGGTGGCAGGGAGGAGCTGCAGGGTGCACAGGTTCCAAGCTGTTGGGTAGGGGCGTGCTGACTATTGTTAAACTGTGTGATTGATTAAAATTTCAATTAATTGAAACTATTTTTTTTAATCTAGGAATTAATTGTGATTATTTTTTTAAATAGTTTGTCAGCCCAAAAAATTAGTTTGAGGATATGGCTAGACTTTTTAAATGGGTTTTGCACAGTAGATTGATAGAAACTATAGGTTTATCTATGGAAAATAGTATAGGGCAGTGGTGCTCAACCTTTTGGGCCTGTGGGGCAGATGAGTAGAGCAGGGTTTGTCTGCAGCCTGGATAAGCCCTATGCAACTGTCCCGTCTCTGCCTTAAACACCAGGAGTGGACCCTAGAGCCTGGCACTACCCCCTCCCACCCCTGTGTGCTAAGATTGGGCCTCAGGGTCCCGGGCCCCCACCCAGCCCTCTGCCCTGGGATTGGACTCCCAGTTCAGCATACAAAGCCCAGAGTTCCCCTTGAGGTCCAGAAATTTGGTGGTCTTGGAGTGGTACAGCAGGAAGTGCAGCAGGGGTGCGGCACCGTTCTTCTGCAGCCAAGTCTTCCAGACCTGTGGCAAGTCAGTCCCATGGGCCAGATAACATGGGACTATGGGTTGGGGGGTTGAGCACCCCTGGTGCAGGATCCATTAGTATGTTTGAACTGGTAATAAGAAGACTTAAGGGAAGGTATTTTTAACATAGCTGAATTTGCAACTTTTAATTCGTGAATGTGGGGATAACAGGAGATGACTGCATAGTTTTATAACAATGGCTTTGTTTTTTTAAGCAGTTAGGAAGAAGTACATTTCATAACATTCTCTTTAGGATTTGAATTTTGGATATTTTCTAATCTGTTTCGAGCAAAAATAGAAAGTGAATGTGGGTGACTTGACTTACTAAATCCTGTTTTGATGAAAGATACCAATGATGGAAGATACTATTTCTGCATCTAGAAACTGTTTTAACATCATTTGTCTGAGTAATAAATGGGTTTATGTATGCAAACATGAATGTAGGTCAATGTAAGAAACCATTGGGTGGTACCGCCCGAGGGTTGCTACAGGATGAGCTAAACCAAAAACAAAGTGTGAAGATGCAGCAAGAGACCAAAGAACCTGAACAGAAGGCTCCAAGAAGGCAAATGCTTTATCAGATGAAGTATAATAAGCCAGAGCAAGGTGGGAGTGCAGCTCATAATGACTGTATCATGTTCTCAAATCATGTTTCAATCATTAAAGCTAATGAGAAAATAACTCCCAAAATATTTTAAAATGTAAATCTCTACTGATTAAAAAAAATAATCTGTAGATATAGCAGCATTTAAAGGCAGAGAAAATGAAAGTGAAGCGAATTAATGCAGAACTATATGTGTTATGACTATTTGATTAAGTACTAGCTACTGCTAATTTAAGATTGACTTTTAATCATGGGTAATTCTGTTAATTTAAGGAATGTTGTCCTTTCCCCCTATTGTTTAGGTATATCAGGTAAAGACCAGAGGATTCTTTACACCAAAAATTTGAGGTCTCCTTTTACCATAGTATCAGGGTATTGTGATAGACACTACAGTAGCAGGATATTAAAGAAAATGTGTCTCATTTAAGGGACATTTTTGAAGGCAATGCATTTACAAAAGCAAAATTAAGCATCCTCTCTAAAACACAGTAAGTTTGTGTATATCCTGAACAAGGAAATAATTCTTGTAAAGAGAATGGGGAAAATATAAATTCTGCAAAAAGAGAAAGGGCTCCATTGTGCAACTGCATATTTTGTCAGGCTTTGGTTCATATTATTGGACCAAAGCCTCTAATTGAGCATGGGTAGTTTAGTATGTTAGAGAAAAGGATCCTCTGGCTTTCCCCTGTTCTTGAAAATAATACAGCTCTATTCTGTGGCATGTATATAGTGTTTGCTTATGTCACATCACATTAACTGTTATGTTTAAAGTATCATGATTTATTATGTGATTTTTTTTTTAATGTGAAAATTCTGTGTGTAAAAGCAGCAAATTAATATTATGCTTCCCCCTTGGCTCTTCACACTCCAGGAGCCAAGCAGGAGTGGTGCCACGAGACCCCTACCTACTTCTTACTGAGGAGTCTCCAGAATGAGAAGCTGTCAGGGGCTTTGCCCAGCTGCTCCTGTTCCTGGTCTCAGGGAGCTGAGTAGAGGGGCAGCACCACCCCCTGTCTGTTCTTCACTCGGGAGCCCCTGGAGTCAGAAGCAGGGTCCTCAGTCTGAGGAATGGGCTAGGGGCTTTTCCCCACTGCTTTTCCATCCTCTCCTAGACTGGACTGCTTTTATGACGGTCAATACAAACGTGAAAGACTTATGCCTCTAGCACCTCAGTCAAATTTTAAAATTGTGACTGTGAACATGCAGCACATTGGGCAACACCAGTTTTGCCGTTTGCAATTTGTTCCCCTTTGTCCCTCAAATTTTTGTCTTATTCAAAGCAGGTATGAACAACAAATACTTGGAAAAATCTCGGACTGTATCTGATTCACAGAAAGGGTCTCAGAAAGAGCCTGCCATGTCCCAAGCAGAGGCAGAGAGGCAACAAATCCTTCAGGAAATGAGAAAGAGAACGTCACTGCATACAGACAACAGCTGGATTAGGCAGCGCAGTTCCAGTGTATATAAGGAACCCATTACTGTACACAGCACTTTGATGAGGAGGTAAGACCAGCATTGAAAATTTGAACTTTGGCTCTTGATAAATATTTAGCTTGGGGGCCTTTTAGGTATTGTTGTTTTCAAAGATGAGAAGCTTTTAAGCCAATTTGAGTCTTAACAGAAGAATGACATTTGCTTGTATTATGGTATCCTATCTGATACCACATATTTACAAGTACTGTGCAGAGCTATTGTTTAGGAAACTAAAATACTTCCCTAATTGCTTACTTTTCATTTGATGTAGCCATAGTAAAAGTTAATCGTTAACATGCTCCAGTATTTGCCCATACTATTAAGAACATTAATAGCAAAATTTGTGAAATAAAGCTCGTACATTGGTTTTTTTAAGTTCTGCCACATGGGCATCTTGCCTGAAACTCATTTTCTAATATTTATTGCTTAAATAACATCTCAGAATTGGTTTGCACTTAGGAGACAATAGGTATCAGTCATGAGGGCTCACAGCTTCTGTGCCAACAGCTGGTTTCTGGATAACATTGTTATCTAGTAGTGGGTAGATCTATTTTTAAACTGGTATCCCTTAGAGAAAAGTACAAACAAAGCCGCTATGTGATGTCTGTTACTAATCAAAGTATTCTTATTTAGTTCACTCTGATAAGGCTGTGGCAAAAGTTATTCTACCATTATCTTTGCCTTTTGCACCATCTTTTTTAGTTCACTTTTTCCAAAGGTCAGTGCAACACAGTAAAATTATGTACCTTGCTACTTGTAACTAATGAGCCTAATACAAATATTTCTTGGGTCATCAACAAGCATATTATGCTACAAAACAAATCTTTACATCAGGAAATTGATTCTGCGCAATAATATCAGAGTATTAGAACTGAACAATCATCTGTTTCAGAGGTGAATCTCTAGACAATCTTGATTCATCAAGAACAAGCTCGTGGAGACATCATTCATGGATGAATCAGTCTGTCTCATCTAGTCAAGATTATACTCGCCCTGCTCCTTCAGCAGGATCTGCTTCAAATCGGGCCTACGCATACACTCCCTCCTCCAATGTAACATCTTCATCAACCACCTCTGTCAGAACAGCGTCTTCGACCCACACTCTCCCGTCAGCACCATCTCCTGTTCCTCGTGCTCAGTCTCCTACCTCTGCTTCCCAATCCGGGTCTCAGACACGGAATAAGTAAGTAGTTGCCCCTCTCAGTCTAATGAACAGAAGTCTGTCTTACCCTATGGACATTGATATAGTAGGTACAGTGAGGGTGGCATTGCAGGGCTGCTGTGGACTTTGCTGATTGATGTTAAATGAGCTACATAATTTCTTAACCCAGTTCTGAATGTCTGTCGAGTGGATATAATTATATTGTACTGGCCTCTACCCGGTAGGGGTATTGGAAAGTTTAATTCATGTTTGCCAAGTGCCTCAACTTTCAGGCAAGCACCAAGCAGAACCAAGCATTATCAGTTCCATAATTATCATAGTTTTGTTGCTCCTGCTTTATACTGGTTTAAAAAAAAAAAAAAAGAAAAGAAAAGCTGGACCGATGAACTTTTAGTCACTTAATTCTATTACTTGTTGGCTACCATAATGACTACTAAAAGTATCTTTATGCTTTCCAGATAGTACTGCTAGCATTTATTGTTTTTTTTTAAGAATGTAGTATTTAAAAAATAAATGCCGTATTTCATGGTGTATAAGTCAAGTTTTCAAGCCCAACTTTTAACGCTTTAAAATTCAACCTTGACTTATACACTGTATCGCCATCCCCTGCGAGTGGTGCTGGGTTCGGTGCTCAGCTGGCACAGCCCAGGCAGCACCATTCACAAGGGATGGGGCCATGCCAGCTGAGTGCTAAGCCTGGCCCTGTCCCCTGTAAGTGGTGCCAGGCTCAGCTCTTGCTGGCACAACCCCATCCCCTGTGAGCAGCACTGGGTTTAGTGCTCAGCTGGCACAGCCCAGGCAGTGCTACTCACAGAGGTTGGGGCCATGCCAGTCGAGCACTGAGCCTAGCTCTGTCCCCTGCGAGCGGTGCTGCGGCACCTCTCCACTTCCTGGGTGCCTGACCTGTAGCGAGGGTGTGCAGGGACTGGTATAAGTCGACCTCGTATTTCTGATCCAAAAAGTTAGGCTGACTTATACACTGTATCTATGAAATTCCTAACTTTCTGGATCGGAAAATGGGTTCGATGTGTATATAGTGCATCGGCCGATATGCTGTGCAATGCAGTAAATAAAAGTGCAAGCCCTATGTTTTATTGTTCATGTCTTTTGGCACGTGGTCAGTATCTTTTTAAGGAACACTCAGGAAATTTCATTACTACTGGCCTTGGACAGTTAGTGTAGACCATTACTTTTAATCCAGAAGGGAAAAAAGGAATTACAGTTTATTCTGAAGTCAAAATGAATTTCAGATGTGGCATAGGAGATGAAACAGATGATGGTTCTATGCAAGTCATTTTTTTAAACAAATTTGTGGATAACTCTGGGAAGTCATCTACATGTGATTGCTTGTACTAGGTCTAACAAAGACTTTAGAAAACATTCCTTTACCTTTCCTACATCTAGCACTCTGGAACATTTTGATAAATGTATCAGCTACCACCCCTTTTTTTTTAAAGCTTGGCTACCTAATTTTTTTTAAATATAGTATAAGATAATTTTTCCCCTTAAAATGGTAGCTTATCTTGTTCTTGCTTTCAGTTTCTGATTTGCTAACATCCTGGTTGATCCATTGAAATTGACCTCCAGATGGCACATTTTCCAAAGGGTTTAAATTCCAGAACCAGCTTTGTTATCAAACAAGGTGCAGATGAAGAGACTTGGCAAGGGTATATACTCAAATGCAGACTTTATAATACTTTCCCAGAGATCACTAATAAGGCAGCAGTGCTGAAACTGTGTGGTGCTTATCAAACTCAGCAATGTCCTTCTTTTAGATTCCCCTCAAAGTGGCATTTGGTCTTGTGAGTGATGTGAAAGATGTGACAGGAATTCTAATTTTCATTTGGTTCATCTGTACATGTTTACTATTTTTTCTTAATTTGCAGATTAATTTTAACAAACTAAGTTGGATATTAGTTCCAAGTAACCTAACTTTTCTCTTTACAAGTGCTCTCTTTCAGTGATTTTTCTCACCACCTCATACCTTTGATTGCCTTTGCTAAATTCTTTTAAAAACCTTTTCAAGTTGGTTTTGAGGATCTCAGCCACATTCTTGTTCTGTATCCAGGTCAATCAGTGGGAAGAAAATATGTTCATACTGTAATAACGTTCTGGGCAAAGGAGCCGCCATGATCATCGAATCTCTTGGTCTTTGTTATCATTTACATTGTTTTAAGGTGAGAGGTAGGAGTAACACTGTGAAGAAACAGGAGCTAATGTGGAGCACGCTTGGTTGCAGGGGCTCTGCTGATCACTTGCTACGTGCTTTCCTTACGCAGGTGTGCTACATGTATGTATCCATGCAACTGTCCTATCTGCAAATGTTAAATGCTTATTTTAATATTGCTCTAATTTGCAATATTTCTAAATTTTAGAGCAATATTAGAGAAGCATTAAAACTCTCAGATCTACCTTACAGTTCTTACTTCTAAAGAAAACCTGTTGTGAAAGAACTGCCTGCCTTCTGAAAGATGTCTCAAGTTGTATAGTCAAGAACTAAGCCACCTAAAACCACTAGTCCTTCTTATGAATCTCAGTCAATAGAGGTCAGTTTTTGACTTTCCTAAGATCCCTTAGTTAAGGACAATAATGCACAGTTGTATTGCTCTAGGAGCACATCAGGGGTGACACCCATGCCATTGGTTCCTGGTTCTCTCCAAGCTCAGGCAAAAGTAGTCTGTGCCAGCTCCACTGCTGTTGCAGATTGTGTAGATGTTTTTATACATGCTTCTGATGTGGCACTGGGCGCTTTTAATTAATGAGCCATGGTAATTAAAAGCTCCTGCATGTCATGTGCTTCAGCAGTGCAGCACGCCTCCACGCTGAGAAAATAGCGACGGTGTGCTTTGAACTAAAGCACGTTGAACGTGTTTTAATTCAAAGCACACCACTGCCACTTTCTCAGCATTGAGGCACGTTGCACCATTCACACACATGATGTCATGCCAGAGTGTGTCAATTTGTGCTCCATTATACTCGATTATCAAGTCTGCTCTGACACACTGGGTTTCCAGCACATTGGAGCAGGCTCTCCATGTGTGTAAGTGCCCAGAGTGTCCATCCCCACTCCCTACACCTCTACCTGCCCCCCTTCGCGTACACACACTAGCTCACTGGCTCTGGTCTGGATCCACTGTGCTAACTGGCATGTTGCAGGGAACTTAGCTGAGGCTTCATCAGTTCCTTCCCACCTGGAAAGGGAGAGATGTTGTAGTCCTTCTGTTCCCTGTAAGAAGTGTACTCTGCTTAGGGGAATTAGAGGGCTCTTTTTACCTCTTCTCATATGCCACCATAGGCAAGTTTAGAGGCATGACCCTGCCCAAAGAGAAGCTGTTAAGATTAAGACATTAAAGAGAGTGCTGCAGAATTGGACTTATTACTTAATAAGGGTTGTTTTAAATGTATTTTTTAAGGCCCTGTAGAGGAGCCTGATGCCTACATACATACTGTAGCATTTTTCACTTAAGCTAGAAAGCTTGAGATCCTTGGGGATTACTGTTCTGCTTTGTAAATCCAGTAGGTAAACGGGAGTTGTGAAGCAATCCTAGAAACTTTGAAGCTTCTGTATGCCTTCTTGGAGAAGTGTTGTTTAGTTACCCTTCTGTAGCAATATTCTGTTCAGTGAATAGGCTAAACATTTTAATACTTTGATAAAGAAATGTTATGGAGGACTTTGTTCTTGGCAATTGAAGTGGACTGGAGCTCCAAGTACCTTCTATTTTTTAAATGTATCCATACACCACTTAGAATAATTGTGCATAAGTGCTTGCTGCCTTTGAAAATTATGGGGTTGTGGGAACAAGCTAGCAGAATGAAAAGCAGATACGGCAGCATGGAGTCTGCAAGTGGCAGACCTGAATGTTCTATGCCAAAATTGCTCATCGCCATTTCAAGAACAAGTGCTTTCATGTTGTGCCATTTTTTTGTGTTTTCAGAGAAACTGAAGCTTAAAACAAGATTTTTGTGACCTAATCTCTAAATCACGTCTGCTTTTTACATGTTTAGAATGTACATCGCTGCTATGAGTTGGCAAGTCATCACCTTAAATGATAAGCCTAATCTGGCTGGCTGCATTTTAATCAACTAATCTTTGTATGTTTGCTCTTGCGGATCCTGGGTCTATGGTCTGGGCTTTGCTGGCTTGTAATGTGAGCTGCTTCTGAACTTTGTTTCCCAGAGTTTGTAAAGAGGAGCTGATTCTTGCTGTTTCTTACAGTGTGTGGGTTGTAAATGCAGCCTTGGAGGATCAGGCTCAGGAGCTGAAGTCAGAATCCGAAACAATGAGCTCTTCTGCAATGACTGCTATATCAGATTTAAAAGTAAGGAAATAGAATAAGTGTGAGTACTGCTTTCTGGGGGTACTTGCTGTGGGGCTCAACAAGTGTCTCTGTTTTTACCAGTCAAAAGGGGCGTGAAATTTTGGAGTAAATGTGGGCGGGGGGGTGGCCCACTGCCAAAATCCTACGTATGGAGTCTCTTCAGGGATATGTGTTGGTGGCAGGGGATGAGTGAAATCTGTGTTAACCCCCACTGTCACTGCTCACCCTGCTGCCTCCAGACTTGGCCTGCGAGATGCCCCACCATTCAGATCCAAATTTGACATGACCGGTTTAGTGCAAACTTAGTATACTAGCAAATTCATTTATGATGGTTTTGTTTCATTTCTTTTTTTGTGGGCTCTTGTCTCCATTCCACTTAACTCTTGTGCTGGTCTAGCCACCAGCATCTTGTTAAGGAAATGGATGTAAGCAGGGAGATGAAGTGAATGTACTTTAGTCTTTGAAAGCCTAGGAGAGGTGAATTTTAGGATTATTGCCAGTAACTGAATAGATTTGTCTTGATAACAGATCAGTTGCATTGCAGACCCGCATCCATTTATAAAATTAATACGAAATTTTATTAGTGCATTCCTGTCACATTCTGGAAAAGTCATTGGTTTAACCTATGCTGGTACCACAGATATTAGTTATTCTCGATTGCTAATATTACTTGAATTATTGCCTCATGATTGGTTATTCATTTAGGTATGAGTGCAGTTGGGGGTTGATTTACTTGTATGTCTTAATTAAAGGACACGGTAATGCTTTTTTCTTTATTAGTATCTTCAACATTCTAACTTCAATGAAGTTGCTTGTGGTAGCTTGATAAGCTATTACATTTCTCACTGCTGTTGCAGAAAGCACTAGACAATTCCTTAATTTTAAGGTGAGTTCTGCCTTTGAATCAAGCATTTAGGAATGAAATACTCCCATGGCAAAATGCTGTAGCTGTTCTATTTGAGCTCATTTTGTTCACTGATGTTAGGAAAGCAATATGGTGCTCTTGCCAGAAACTGTGACCTAGATCCAGGTCTTTCCTGGCTGGGGAAGCTCAACAGGGAGAAGAGAAAATACTACTCATTTTTTTTCTATATTCCCTCTCTTCCTTTTCTTTTCTTTCCTTTTTTGGTGGGGGCGAAGTCAGGTTACTTTATTTTTGTTTTCAACCCAATAAGCTAAAGACAAAAATGACTCTCACACCTATATAAGTGATCAGAAACCAGCTCAAATCTGTTACACGACAGGGCTAGGGAAAGAAGTTAAACAAGTTTGTGTGTAAGTGACCAGAGACTGGTTTAAACCTGCAAAAGAATAGAAGTTCAGTGTACTTAAACCAGTTTCAAAATGGCTGAAATTGATTTTAAGATAAACCTGGTTGAATGTAGTATCATGCTTAAGTGATTTGGGTCAAACCAGTTTATTAAATGCCTGTCCCAGACCCCTTCCTGTTTCAAATTAAATTAGAGGCCCCCGGCATCCTAGCATTTTGCAGCCATGGCTGAGCTTTGCTGTCTGCTCTATAGAGCAGGGCTGGCCCTGCCCCTCTGGTCCCTAGCTGAAGTAGTGAGGGCTGGCTTACTGGCCTCACTGGCTGGCTTACTGCACACCCTCCCCCCCCACCCCCACCCCTGCAAACCTCTGTTGGAGTCTGGTGCCAGGGAGGTAGGGGTTAAACTTCTCTTCCCCCGAGTACAGGGGTGCCCCGTTCTGCTTGCTTAGTGCTGGCTGTAGCTGTGAACTAAAAATCCAAGAGGCACCTGGAAGCAGGAAGAAGTAGTGATGAGCAACCCTGCAGAGTCCTACTGCTGTGAGTCTAGACAGTAAATCCCAGAGACCTCAGGGCAGCAGGAAGAGGAAGCCAAATACACAACCCATGCTGGCTAAGTGCCAGACAGCTGTGCTGTGGTGCCCCCCAGCTTCTGGTCTGAGCCACTGCAGGCATGTGGCTGCATTTCTGGAATCAAAAGTGAATGCCTGTTTGCTTGCTAATCGGCTCAATCTATGCAGCCTAAATTAACCTGTGAAGATTGAATTAATTCAGCCTCAGGCTTTTTGACAGTCTGTATACTTAGCCATAAAGTGCAAATCAATTTGGAAACTAGATACTGGAAAAGCGACTCTTCTCATAGTGTGTTACTGCAGGAGATGTGATCTCTGAAGGCTTTCAAGATGGATCTCTTTGGCTAGGGACAGACATTCAAAAAGCCTGAGCCTGAATTGATTCAGTCTTTGCAGGTTAGTCTAACCTGCCTAAGTTAAATAAGCTTCCAGCTGAACAGACATTCTCTCTGGACTGAGAAAATGCAGGCATATGCCTGCAGTAGCTCAGGCTAGAAGAAGTAAGGGGAGGTGCTAGAGCAGCCCTCCCTTCCCTTCCAGTGCTGAGCTGAAGGTGGTGTGGCCAGGCTGCTTTGAGTAGGGAGGGGTCATCCCCACCCACCAGCAGCCCAACAGGGAATTGATAAGTGTTTATCACCCCATTAAGAAAACAAAGGGACATTACCAGCTACCTGTTGATTCTCCCTTTGTCCTGCCACAGCATGGTTGTATCTAGCCTGTGGTCTGATAGCTAATGCTGAGGTGCCTGTAAGGCAGAGGGGATGAGGATGGGAGCGGGGGAGCAGGCAGATGCCTGCAGTCTGTGCCAGAGCTCTGGCCAGGGAGCAGAGGGGAGGGGCCAGTTCTGCCGTGGAGCAGAGAGCCCTGCCCAGCCCACAGAGCATGCCGGGATGCTGAAGGTGTCCGGCTTATCTTAAACTGGGACAGACATTGCATAAACCAGTTTGACCCAAATCAGTTAAGTCTGATACCACATTCAGCCAAATTTCTCTCAAGCCAGTTTCAGCCATTTTCAAACTGGTTTATGTGCAGTGAACATCTGTTCTGTTACAGGTTTAAACTAGTTACTAATCACTTAAACGGGCTTATGTGTAATGTCTGTCCCTCGCCCTCCTCTTTGGAATATTAGAAAAGTAATATAGATGCTTCGGATGTATGATTCTGGAATTGATTTTGTTCTTCCTTACCTCTTTCACAAAATCCAAATTCGTGAAACTGTTAGATAAACCTAAGTTTGCTTATTAGGTCCAAAATGTTTTGGTGGTGGTTATCCCTAAAACCCAATCCTATTTTCCAGCTGAGCCCAAATTTTAAAATATTAACACCCCCCCCACCCCCCAAACATTAGTTACATCTAACACGGAGTTTAGCTGTAGCACTGTAATTAGTGTTGTTATCATCTAATATTATAAAAGTCTAAGTCTGTCTGTCTGTAACGCTTTATTCGCACTCTGATTGATTGGCTGATGGAAACAGGCAATCAGAGTGCTCCAAGCATGGGGGGAGTGCTGCCATGATTCCAAAGCCATGCCAAGGACTGGACAGGGGGTGGGAGAGCTAAGGCAGCACTGGCCTCAGCTCCCCCACCCCACTCCTTGCAAGATGCAGAACAGCAACAAGATGGGGCGTTAGGTGACGGCACTCCATCTCAGCCCCCTCGTCATTCTTGACAGGCAATTGGCTAGTTCATTATATTTTATATGTTAAATCCATAACTTGTATTAGTTTTTATTGGTGTAAAGATACTTTTTTACTTTTGCAAAGAGAACTTATAATAGATTTGGTGTTGTTTTGACTAACACTTTACAAGTATATTTTTTGTTCACTAAGACATTGTAATTTTAGGGCCTTGTATATTAATTTTAAGTGGTTCTTGGAGTTCTTAACCATTGGATCATCTGTGCATTAACACTGGAAACTAGTTTTAAGCACATTTTAGGTGGTTTAAATTTATGCAATTCTGGGCCAGATTTCTCTCTGTTATCCAGCTTGTGTCTCATTAATGTGCGACTCCCCACAGATGAGCTGTCCATATTTCAGTCCTCCATCATCCCAGGATGCAGTGTCCCCTCCCCTCCCCTCCTGTTCTGAACTTTCCACCTCCTGAACTCTACTTCCCAGGGGGCAGTTCTGGCACCAGGCCAACTCCCCCTCCTGTTCCCCTGGGAGTGTTACCTTCCCACCCTCAGGGGTGTGCAGGCTGCTTAGCACGTGCCAGCTAGCCAGGTTGCAGGGCATGAACAGGTCCAGGAATGGGGTCTAGGCAGGGGTGGATGGGAATAAGGTAGAAGTCCAGATCAGATCCCTATGGGCTGGGACTTACTTCCCAGACAGGTGCATTAGCTCCCCCAAAAGCATTTGTCTTGCCAATCCCACTTCCCAGCTACCCCTGGTAGCATAACCAGCACCCCCATGCCCTACTCTTAAATCCCAATTTATTTAAACATGAGACTTTCTTTAATTTACTTCCTCTTCATTTCTTTTTAAATTCATTCTTATTTTTTACTACTTTTTATTTTATCCTTCAGTGTCTGGGTGACTTCATTTCACCACCCTTCCCCCACCCTTGTTTCCTTTCCACCTCCCATTTCAGGAGCCTATCCTGGCTCACCAGCCCTGTAGTGGCAACTCACACCTGTAGCTTCTACTTGGGTCCCTGCTTGTCAGCCCTCTATTAGCAAGTCACAGCTGTGCAGGTACAAGCCAGAGAAAGTGTTTAGCCTTAAGGTGTAACTGCTCCAAACTTGCATTAGCACTAACAGCAATTAACATTTGAACAGTAGCAAGGCTCTTAATTAACAACTTTTATGTTTCTTCCCTTCCTTAACAGCTGGACAGCCAACCTCCATGTGAAGCGAACGTAGATATGAAGCCATTGCTACAGATAGAGGAGGAGGTGGTTGCTGCTAATGTAGATCTATAAATATATATTGTGTGTTTTTAAGAGTAACCTTTTTTTTGCCCTTCTAGATTTCATAGAACATGGGCTATATCCTTCATATACCTGTACTTTTATTTATGAGAAAGTAATCACAATAAGATAATATCTTGGGGAAAATGTATTTACTTTGAGCTCAACCTCTCAAAAGCACAAAGAAGAACAAACATCAGTAATAACTTCAAAGTATGTCTGAGGCTAATAATTAAGTAGCTGAATTTCCTATGATACATAAAGAGGGTATTTCTGTTTTTATGCTCTTAACTATAGAGCACTATAGGAATAATTAATATAAATATGTATTTGCAATCGCTGTCTTTATTTTTTGACATGCTGCAAAGTGAGTTCTCTAGAGTAATATGAAGCTGCATTAAAATACACACCAATGTGTTTGCTTTCTGTATGCTGGTTTCTAAAATTGTTTATTTGCTTTTTGAAACTAAGATACCAAGTATAGTCTGCTCAGTGGTGAAGACATAATGTGCTACACACAAACAGTGGAATCCATTTGAGGGAATGGTTTCTCCTTTTCACTTTTGACAGATAAAACCATCACTTTCCCTCAAACAAGTTAATGCAGGAAGTGGAGGAGTTTTCTGTTGAATTACAGTATATTTGTAAATATTTTTTCTGATGCTACGTTGACTTTTTCCTTGCCTTACCTGCCTTTTGCAAAATATTCATGTCCACAGAATGAATTGCTGAACAATAAACCTGATTGTCTGAATTTGTTTTGGTAAAACATTTCTTGTCTGAGATTTAAAACACTGCTACATATAGGTGTATATACTCATAGAGAATGAGATCTCATATCTTGCTTTTCTGCTATTTACCCATTCCAAATGTAAATTTGGTAGCGATCTTCCCTGTCAGGTCCTGTTTGCTCTTTCTTTTCAATATTTAGTACAAGTTACATGACTACCATTACAATAGCATATTGTTTAATTCAAGACATGTGGAAACTTCCCCTAATTGGTCTGTTGCTCTGTTAATGAGATGCAGGAACTATCCCTGAGCTGCTGCTGCATGCTGGTGAAATATGTGCTATGCAGTTTTGGGTAATAGCTCTCAACTTTTTCTCTTTTTGCTTGGTGACCTGCAGAATCATCTTGCTCTCAGTTAGTACCCCACCAGTCCTTGGTAGATTCAAAAAAAAAAAAAAAAAAAAAGGATTTTTACCACAAAAAACTATTTAGACTCGCTTATGGATTGCAGCTTAAAAGTGGAAAGAGGAAAGCTGGGTGCAAGGGGACAGCAAAACCCTTGTCAAAGTAACTTGAACAAAATAACTTAAAGTGCTTCTTCCTTTGATGGGGATCAGTCTAAATGTTATGGTTGGATGAGAGGGGAAGGGGATCACAGAAACAGTTACATGGAGCCAGGGACGTAAGTACAACTGGAGCAGCAGGAAAGGCAGATGAAAAACAAGTTGTTCCTTCCTTCCTTCCCCTCTCCTGGGCTC